GATAAAATAGTTAAGCTTTCAATCATGCTAGATGTCATGTTTAGGCTTTATGATGATACTGCTAGAACCCATAGCGGTCGCTTCTTGCTGTCATTTCACCAATTTCATTGATATTTTGTACTCAGTCATATTCATGCATTCATATCATATCTCAGTCTTAGTTGTTATTTATTGATACATCATATCATTGTTGTCGGGCTAGTTTCATAACATTTTGAGCCCGTGAGTGAGACTGGAGAGATTGATGACTGAGTGAGGTTGGGGGCCTATTTGTGAGGATATTGATACTATAGCACGTGAGTTGTCCGTGCGGATCCAGATATTGATTTTATGGCACGTGAGTTGTCCGTGCGGATTATAGCGCTTGGGCTGTAGGAGCCCCTCCGGAGTCTGCACACCCCTAGTGAGCGCGGTTGATATTGTTTTGAGAGATGGATCTTCCCTGGACATGGTTCTTGTCCGAAGCATTTTATACCTAGAGATGGATCTTCACCACGGGCTGGATTGACCCTACTCGGTACTGAGTGACTGACGATCAGTTGATGTGTATATTCCGGGATGGATCTTCCCTAGGCCGGATTGGCCATATACAGTACCGAATGATTGAGCGTGATAAGTAGATTGTGTGAGAAAGTGAGATTGAGTACTCTGAGAGTGTGAGTAGATGAGATCATCTCTGAAATGCATTGCATCGACATGCACACATGACATACAGGCATAAAGATGTATTTTTCTCATGATGTATGGTATCATGACATTCATGACTTCTCACACATGTTGACTTATGGGCATAGTGAGGCATTTGTTTTACACTGAACATTTGGAAAGAAAATGATATATCCTAATTATTATTGAAATGATTTTGGGAAAAATTACTGTTTTCAAACTTACTCGTGTTTTGGCATTTTCGATAAAAGATTTGGGTTTTCACTGAGATACTTGAAAAGTAATGCCTATTTTCTGGAACTGTGAACGAACTGAGCATTTCATTTCTGAGATACCTCTTTTGTTACTTGTACTATGCTGTTATGAACTATTGTGGAATATTAGTGTTGGACCCGACCTTTGTGTTAGCTCGTCACTACTTTCAACCTAAGTCTAGGTTTGTTACTTATTGAGTACATGGGGTCGGTTGTACTCATACTATACTTCTGCACCTTGCGTGCATATATTGACTGCTGACGTTGCTATGATCGACGGGAGCCGTCATTGAAGATGTACCTGTGTCCCGGTTGTAGCTGCCTCTTGTTCATGGTAGCCTTAGATCTATTAAACTCTGTTAATGTATTTTGCAAACAGATGATGTATTTATTTCATTTCAGCTTTGTAAACTCTATTCTTAGAAGTTCATGATTTGTACTACCAGTCCTTGGGAAATGTATAAGATTCAGTAAATTACTTTCGTTTAATTGTCTTGTTAATATCATTGGAATTCGGATAGTTGTTAATTGGCTTACCTAGCGGGTTGGGTTAGGTGCCATCACGACTAGTTGGATTTTGGGTTGTGACACCGGCATTAGGAACTTGCTTTTCAAGAGAGCCTAAGCATGTTGGCATGGTAATTCATCAAATTGGAACCGCTAACAACTGTAGGTTTTCTCTAGGAGGCAAACCGTGTAATGCCTTTCTTTATCGTTCACCATGTGCAAGTGTTCAGTCGATGGGACAACCTACATTAAACAGAGAAATATAAGTTGTGGACATTTGTGTAATGACCCGATATGTCATTTTGCTTTTTAAAACCTCGTTCCCCTAAATAAGAGTCCCCATACGTGTTTTATGACTTGCGGGGATGGTTAGTTCAGGATTTGGAAGGGTTCAGGTTGAAATCGGAACACTTGGTTCCTTAAGGTTGGCTAAAAAGGCTAAGTTTGACTTCGATCAACGTTTTGAGTAAACGACCTCGGAATTGGGATTTGACGGTTTTATGATGATTTCAGACTTGGGCGTATGTTCGGATCGGGTTTTGGATGACCCGGAAGTATTTCGGCGCCTAATAGTGAAAGTTGGTTCTTTGAAGGTTTTAAAGTTCTTTAAATTTGGTTTGGAGTAGGTTTTGGTGTTATCGAGGTCCAAATGGGATTCCGAGACCGGGAATAGTTTCGTATAGTGATTTAAGACTTGCACGCAACATTTGGTGTCATTCCGAGTAGTTTAAATACGTTCCGGCGCATTGGGAGAAAATTTAAGAACTTGAAGTTCATGTTTTTGATTCAATTGGCTTGGGGTGTGATTCTTAGTTTTGATATTTTTTTGTGTGTTCTGTGAGTTCGAGCGAGTCCTTTTTATGATTCAAACTTGTTGGTGCGTTCGGGCGGGGCCCCCGGGGGCTCCGAGCGTTAAACGAACAAGGCTCGGATCAAGTTTGGACTTGAAGGCAGGTGCTAAAGCCTTCAGCTTTGGTGTGATCGCACCTGCGCTTGGCTACCCGCAGGTGCGAGCTCGCAGGTGCAAGAGACGAGTCACAGAAGCGAACCAGCCAACGTTGCCCAGGACCGCAAGAGCGAACAAGTTTGCGCACCTGTGAAAGCGCAGGTGCGAGGGTAGTGATCGCAGGAGCGACTTAAGACGTAGGAGTGGCTGGATGGACCCAGAAGCGGAACCATAGAAGCAGGGCCCCATCCGCAGAAGCGAGCCTAGCCAGCCTTGGGCCCTTCTGCAGAAGCGGATCGTGGTCCGCAGGAGCGCTGCCACAAATGCGGCGCAGGCACCGCAGATGCGGAAATACTGTTGGGCAGAACACTTATTTAATGATAGTCATTTTTGGCTCATTTTCTTTCCTTGTTGGGCGATTCTTGGAGCTCTTAGAGAGGGTATTTCACCTAGCACTTTGAGGTAAGTAATTTCTACAGAATGAGAGTTAAATACCTAGTTATGGGTAGATTATAACATGTAAATTAGTGAAAAATCATGGGTTTAGGTGAAAACCTAGGTTTTTGACAAAAATGAGATTTAACCACGAAATTTGTTATGGAATTTAGTGAAAATCATATATTTTAGTTCGTGAGGTTATGGGTAACAAATTTCTTTAAAGATTTCTGGAATTCGGGCACGTGGGCCCGGGGGTAAATTTTAGGAATCCTACATTTGGGGTTTGGTAATCCCTTTAATAGTTGGAATATGAACTTTTGAGCATGTATTGGTCGTTTTATATAATATTTGACTAGTTTCGAGTTGTTTGGCACCGAATTGAGGATTTGAGCACAATCTTGGACTGGGAAACAGGCTTTTGAGACAAAGTAAGTTTCTTTTCTAACTTTGTAAGAGGTAATTAACCCCATAGGTGAATGTAATTAATATATGCTTTTATTTGTGGGGGCTACGTATGTACGAGGTGACGAGAGTCCGTATGCAACTACTAATTTTTCTTATGTCCGGGTAGCTTTAGGTTTACTCCATGTTTGGTTGACATTGCTATTTCACTATGCTTACTAATTGCCTCGGATAGAGCTGAGATTGAGGGTTTCAATGACTTTTAAAGTTTCTAGTTGGATTTTCTTATTTTGGAGAGAATTGAGGCATAACGTGCAAAATCTATGTTCAACCGCATCGCAAGTATATTCCGCGAGTGGGAAAAATTTCCACTACTCTCATTGGAGCGGGCCGATCGCCTCGGAAGGTTAATAGATGCATTTATGGTTCGCGCCGTTCGACCCTCGGCAGTACACACATTATATTTATATGTATTCTGGATCGGGCCGTACGTCCTCGGCATAACTCGTGCGAAATGATATTGGAAATTCCAATATGTTTGATATTGCTTCATTGGTTTGATAGGCTAAAAGATTAAAGGAGATACATTTGTTTGGTAATTGCTATTCGGTGAAAGGATTGGCTATTTAAATTCTTGCTTTTGGGGTTCCATTGTCATTTATATATCCCATGTCTAACTAGCAGTTGTATATATTTTTATTGTTGGCCCATAGTAAGTATCAAAGTCGACCCCTCGTCACTACTTCTTCGAGGTTAGACTGGATACTTACTGGGTACATGTTGTTTATGTACTCACGCTACACTTATGCACTTGATGTGCAGGATCTGAGGTAGGTGCTTCTAGATATCAGTCAGACGCGCACACTTGATTACTACTGCGAGACTTTACAGTGAGCTGTCTTCCGAGCCTGTTCTGCAGCAGCTGAAGTCTTCCTTTTGCCTTATTTTTCTGTCTATTTTGTTTCAAATAGTAGTGTAGTACTCTTTTATATATTCTACTAGTATCTCATACACTTGTGACACCAGGTCTTGAAAAATTATGTTAGTAGGCATCTGATGGTTTTTTTGGGGTAATTTATCTTATCTCACTTGTTTTAAAATTTTCATCTCTCATATATTTTTTTTATATAAAACCACTATTTCTTATTTGTGCATAAATTAAAAATCAACTATTTTAAACCGTTAAAAGAAAGATCATGGAGTAGGTTTAAAGTTGGCTTGCCTAGCAGCAACGTTGGGCGCTATCACGACTTATAGGAGAATTTGGGTCGTGATAATTTGTACAAGACATGTATCTGTCAACGACTTGACGTATTAAATACAATATACATGAATAGAAGAAAAAACATTTGAAATACACTGAATTCAAACCATATTTAACAGACAGAACATTAAAGTGTATATTCATTTGTGAAATACAGTATTTCTTGTGAATAAAAATAGAAAATCATTGAATACAACCAATGCAATATACACAATACAACTGTAGTAACATGTATTATGAATATATAATATACAATTAATACAAGAATATATTTGAATATATTGAATACAACTGTTAGATACAACAGAATACATGCACTAGTGTTATTATTAAAAGGGAAGGCACTAGGTTACTAATACATGTTGTATCAGGCATAAATACATGATTTACTCATATATCTTAATTTTGTCAATGCAATTACTTATAGAAAAAAAAACTTATATTCATTCAGGTAGATAGTACCTCATTCAATGTAAGGATCTTCTGATATTTTTTCCCAAGCGTTTGTGTACGTATGTGAAGCTCATGTTTGATTGCTGCAATTCCAACTTCCAAACATCTTCCTAACTTCTTCTAGGAAGTCATATATCACCAATTCTCTAGCTGATACAAGTGCCGAATTGATTGACTCAGCAATATTTGACGTCATGGTCCATCCCCGTTTAATAGGTACATGCAACCTAACCCAGTTTTCGTATCGAGCTAATAAGTAATATTTAACCCGAATATCTACCTTCTCCACCTTTTCTATTAGACTATCAAATTCATCCTGGGTGTATGCTTTTGCCATTGAAAAGTATACCTCGCTCAACTTTGCATGACTCCTTTTGATGCCATATACAAGCAAAATGGGATACCGTAGGATACACTCTCGAAACAGATTTGATTATGCTCTCATTCCTATATGAAATGATGCACATCTTTTTCCGCTCGCCATAAGCCACCTTAAATTGCTCAAAGAACCACAACCAAGCAACATCATTTTCTGAATCAACAACACCATATGCTAGTGGCAATATATGTCTTGTAAATACAACTACATACAGATAAAAAGATAGCATTCAAGATGTATTAAAAAGTCAAAATAGCATATTTTATGTTAATCAAGATTGCATGTATTTTTTTTAACTGACTAACCTGCACCATCCAACGTACTAGCCGAGACGAATGTCCCTGTGTATGCTGATTTTAAGTGATTTTCATCCACAACGACGATGGGTCTACAGTAATCGAATCCCTTTATAAAAGCATACAACGATATATACAAATACATGAACTCATTTTTAGGTGATTTTTTGATTATAATATGTGAACCAGGATATGTCATATCCAGTGTATATAAGTACCCTGGTAATTTATTGTATGAATCAGCTGGTACACCCCTCAGAAAATTCACTGCCTTTTCTCTAGCACGCCATACCAACATGTAACTAACATCTACACCAAAGTCCGATTTTACATCATCAATTATATCCCTTTGGCGAATATTTCCTCTTATGATTAGTAAACTTGGACCTAATCATTCCCCCAATCAACTTGCCGGTTGCTTGACATTGCTCATACACCTTATCCTTCAACGGACATGATTGCTTATTATTGAACTTTCTCACTTTGAACATTTGTGATTTGTTAATACTAGAAGCCTTAAAGTTCAATTCACTATCCTCAGAAATACATAACAATGTATAGCTGCAAATATATTTGTGTTATAAATACGATTGGTTAGTTATAGATAAAACATATACATTTCCTAGAGCTGATTCGGCTACAGACACACAACATTTTCATTTGTCAACAAAGTTTTGAATACAGAAACATACTATGAAATACAATGTATGTTACATGAATATACTATAAAAAATTGTTGAATACATTGCATAAAACAATGTATTATGAACAAAATTTATATAAATAGTTCAATTATCCTATAACTGTTTCAAAACATTCAATTAAAAACACTGAAGGAGAGCATATATTATAAATTCAATATTATACTTGTTGTATTTACAATATGCTGCCATGAATACACTATAAAACTATTACGAATACATATACATACAGTTGAATACAACATATTTGATGAAGAGGTTGTAATTGATAACATTCAAACCTGATAGCATTTGACCTATCAACTCGGAATTGAAACCTTTCAGCAATTGCATATTGCTCCATCACTACCTTCAGTATGTCCTTATCCTTATACACTTGTCCAGCCATCACCTCTTTTTGATTAGTTTTTGAAATAATCAAATCCCTTTCCGGTTCAAAAACCTCAATCGGTTCACTTGAGTTTAAAAACTCAAGTGCAAGTGTATCAACTGTATCAAATTTACTCACCCCATTGGTTTCGTCAAGTTGCATTAGGTCACTTTGAATTAAACTTCGTCCAGCAATAATTTCTTTATCCATTGAAGTTATACACAATGGATATGTCACGACCCAAAATTCTAACTTATCGTGGTGGCACCTATCATGGTACTAGGCACGCCGACATTTAAAAATATTTCCAACACTTTTAACAGAAAGCGAATTAAAGCAGTTTAAACAACAAAAGTTTTCATAAACGAGATAGAAACCCAAAATACAACGCGGAAGTTCCCAACCACCGGGGTGTCACAGAGTATATGAGCATCTATACCTCACAAGTCTGGAAAATACTGTCTATGATAATCTGAAACTAAATATAATAAGTGGAAAGATAGGGATGGAGAAACAAGGTCTGCGAAACGCCAAGCAGCTACCTCGATAGTCTCTGAGAATCCGAACTCCACAACTCAGCAACCGCCATGGCCGAAAGCACCTGGGTCTCCACACAAGGTGCAAGGTGTAGCGTGAGTACAACCAACTCATTAAGTAACAAGACTAAATAAAGAATTGAAAGTAGGGACGAGCTTCACAGTTATAGTTTAGTTACAGTGATTTCAATATAGGAAAGTAGGCATGCTCTCACGTTCGATAAATTTGGTCAAACAGTTAATCCATGACAGGTTTAAGTGAAACTGAGTGTAATATCTTTCAGAAAATTCAAGACAGAGATACCTGGAAGTTAAGTGCAACAATAATGAAATCAAATGCATCCTCTCAGGGCCACAGTCACTCGGCCCTCCCATTCACTCAGCACTCGGCACTCGGCACTCGCACTCAATAGGTACCTGCGCTCACTGGGGGTGTGTGCAGACTCCGGAAGGGCTCCTTCATCCCAAGCGCTATAATCTGTACGGACAGCTCACGTGTTGCACGGACAACTCATGTGCTATAGTATAATATTTGGATCCGCACGGATAACTCACGTGTTGCACGGATAACTCACGTGCTATATTATCAATATCTCACAATCAGGTCCTCTGCCTCACTTAGTCATCAATCTCTCCAGCCTCTCGGGCTCTCAGTGATCATGAAAGTTAGCCCCAACAGAAATGATATAATGTGTCAACAAGGAACAATAGAGATTGAGATATAATAACAAGTAAAACTGTGACTGAGTACAAAATAACAATTTAGCAGATAATTCAACATGTACACGACCTCTGTGGGTCCCTACAGTGCCAACACATAGTCTAAACATGATTTCTAACATGATTTGTGGTTCAATTTCTCTACTACATGGAGAATGTACAGATAAAGACAGATTAATCAACTACACGGTTCCATGGAATTTGACCAAGTCACAATTCCTACAGTGCACGCCCATACACCCGTCACCTAGCATGTGCATCACCTCAAAACCAAAAACATGACACATAATACGGGATTTCGTACCCGCAGAACCAAATTTAGAACTGTTATTTACCTCAATCCGAGAAAATCTCTACTCTAACACACCCTTGCCTCGCGAAACAGCCTCTGCATGCCTCGAATCTAGCCATAAACAATGCGATATAATCAATACGGGCTAAAGGAATCAACTCCATAAGAAAATGCTAAGCTATTAATCAAAATAAAAAATTGGCTCAAAACCCGCCCCCAGGACCACGTCTCAAAATTCGATAAAATTCACAAAACCCAAAAGCCCACTCAACCACGAGTCTAACCATACCAAATTTATCTAAATCCGACACCAAATCGTCACCCAAATCCCCAAATCAAACTCTCCAAATCCCTAGCCTCAACCACCTAATTTACACCTTAAATACACATCAACTAGGTGGGAAAATCAATGGGGAAGCAAGATTATTGATAAAAAATGATCACAAGGGACTTACCTCAAGAATCCCCTCGAACATCCTCTCAAAAATCGCCTAAACCGTGCTTGAAATGTTTGAAATGAAGCCAAAATCTCAAACCCTTGTTTTAATAATCTACCCAGGCTTTCCGCTTATGTGGACACTTAACCGCTTCTGCAGCATCGCAGAAGCAACATAACCAACGCATATGCGGTCCATACCGCTCCTGCGGTCCCTCACTTCGCTTCTACGAGCATCCTAGCCGCTTCTATAGTCCCAACTCATCTGCCCACTTCCGCTTTTATGGCCCTCCCGCTGCATGTGCGATCACATAGGTGCAGAGAGTCTTCGCACCTGCGAACACCTGCACACTCCCCTCCAAACCGCATCTGCACATCACAGCCCGCACCTGCGATCAAAGCTTCGCAGGTGCAGTTACACCAACAAAGGTCCAACCTCAGCAATCACTCAACTTCAACTTTTGATCCGTTAACTATCCAGAATCAACCCGAGGCACCCGGGACCTCAACCAAATATACTAACAAGTCCTAAAACCTTGTACGACCTTAGTCGAGCCCTCAAATCATATCAAACAACATCAAAAATATGAATCGCACCCCAATTCAAGCCTATTGAAACTAAGGAAATTTAACTTCTACAAACAACGCCGAAATCTATCAAAATACGTTTGATTGACCCTAAATTTTGCACACAAGTCACATTTGACATTACGGACCTACTCCAACTTCCTGAATCAGAATCCGACCCCGATATCAAAATGTCCACTCCCGGTCAAACTTAACAAAAATTCAACTTTCGCCATTTCAAACCTAATTCCACTACGGACCTCCAAATCATAATCCGAACACACTCCTAAGTCCAAAATTACCCAACGGAGCTAACAGAACCATCCAAACTCTATTCCAAAGATGTTTACTCATAGATAGACATACGGTCAATCATTTTAACTTAAGTTTTCAACTTTGATACTAAGTATCTCATTTCATTCTGAACTCACTCCGGACCCGAACCGACCACACTGGCAAGTCACATAACAGCTATAAAGTATAAAATTAGAAGTAAATGGGGGAACGGGACTATAACTCTCAAAAAAGACCGGCCGAGTCGTTACAATATACATCCCGAATTCTCTGTTATCCTTTTTCAACTCTACATACACCCGATAACCCATGTCGTTGTGTATTTCCATAGGTGTGCAATTTCCTTCCACTTTGTATTCAATTTTAATTGACTTTGAGCTCAAATCTATGCCAAGTTACTTCGAAATTGAATCAACCAAATCATTGTACGACCCATACTCCTTTATCAGTATCTCATCAATCGAATAATCGACATAACAATTTTCACTATTCCACTTGCCAGAATGACGAATTAGGATGGTTAAATTTGCCATCTAGAAAATTGAATTTCAAACTATTTCTGTAGATACTTGTATCACTTCCTAGAAGAAGCTCGAACAATATCAGTGGAAAAACAATATCGACCGATACCAGGAAAAAAAGGAGTGAAACTCTGAAGATGGCATTTTTGTTTTGGTATTTGTTGTCTGCAAGATCTTCTCATTAATTGGATTGATAATATTGCGTGTTAGGAAGGAGTTTGTTAAGTTATATTAGGAGTGTATCACGTTAATTGATTCACTTTCCGTTTTAAACAGCTGGAGAGACCTATTTTTACGTTAATTGACGTTAGTGTATTCATTAATACATGGCGCTAATACATATGAATACAACGCGGAAGTTCCCAACCACCGAGGTGTCACAAAGTACATGAGCATCTATACCTCACATGTCTGGAAAATACTGTCTATGATAATCTGAAACTAAATACAATAAGTGGAAAGATAGGGAAGGAGAAACAAGATCTGCGAAATGCCAAGCAACTACCTCGATAGTCTCCGAGAATCCGAATACCACAACTCAGCAACCGCCGTGACCGGAAGCACCTGGGTCTGCACATAAGATGCAGGGTGTAGCTTGAGTACAACCAACTCAGTAAGTAACAAGACTAAATAAAGAATTGAAAGTAGTGATGAGCTTCACAGTTATAGTTTAGTTACAGTGATTTAAATATAGGAAAGTAGACATGCTCTCAAATTCGATAAATTTGGTCAAACAGTTAATCCATGATAGATTTAAGTGAAACTGAGTGTAATATCTTTCAGAAATTTCAAGACAGTNCAAGACAGAGATACCTGGAAGTTAAGTGCAACAATAATGAAATCAAATGCATCCTCTCAGGGCCACAGTCACTCGGCCCTCCCATTCACTCAGCACTCGGCACTCGGCACTCGCACTCAATAGGTACCTGCGCTCACTGGGGGTGTGTGCACACTCCGGAAGGGCTCCTTCATCCCAAGCGCTATAATCTGTACGGACAACTCACGTGTTGCACGGACAACTCATGTGCTATAGTATAATATTTGGATCCGTACGGATAACTCACGTGTTGCACGGATAACTCACGTGCTATAGTATCAATATCTCACAATCAGGTCCTCTGCCTCACTTAGTCATCAATCTCTCCAGTGTCTCGGGCTCTCAGTGATCATGAAAGTTAGCCCCAACAGAAATGATATAATGTGTCAACAAGGAACAATAGAGATTGAGATATAATAACAAGTAAAACTGTGACTGAGTACAAAATAACAATTTAGCAGATAATTCAACATGTACACGACCTCTATGGGTCCCTACAGTGCCAACACATAGTCTAAACATGATTTCTAACATGATTTGTGGTTTAATTTCTCTACTACATGGAGAATGTACAGATAAAGACAGATTAATCAACTACACGGTTCCATGGAATTTGACCAAGTCACAATTCCTATAGTGCACGCCCATACGCCCGTCACCTAGCATGTGCGTCACCTCAAAACCAAAAACATAACACATAATACGGGATTTCGTACCCGTCGAACTAAATTTAGAACTGTTACTTACCTCAATCCGAGAAAATCTCTACTCTAACACACCCTAGCCTTACGAAACAGCCTCTGAATGCCTCGAATCTAGCCATAAATAATGCGATATAATCAATACAGGATAAAGGAATCAACTCCGTAAGAAAATGTTTAGCTATTAATCAAAATATAAAATCGGCTCAAAACCCGACCCCGGGCCCACATCTTGAAATTCGATAAAATACACAAAACCCAAAAGCCCACTCAACCACAAGTCTAACCATACCAAATTTATCAAAATCCGACACCAAATCGTCACC